AAATTCTTTATACGAATCTTGTTCAGCTTTAAATAGATTTTTATCACAGACTTTTTTTGACATTTTACTTATTTCTGATAGCTGTATCATAAAGCTGTATATTATCATAGAAAAAAAATTGCCAAAAATATTTTTTAGAAGTTATTAAATTGCCTTTTGTTGGTTTTAGGTTGGTTTACACCCCCTAAGGAGGATGGCTAACCCGACAAATTGTCAGATTCACCACACATCTCATCCTTCACCTTTCTCTGTGTCATCTCGGTTCATATCGGGGATATTGGGAGATAACTGACATTCTGTTAGTGTCGGCAAACACACAGTGTTTTAATGCACATCTGACTGACCAAATGGAATGATTTATTATACTGTGGTTTTCTGTAGGTGAGAAAACTGCAGTTCCATGGAATGGCTGCATTGTGGAAAAAAAATCAAGAATGACTCAAGCCCTGATTTTATTGTCTTCAAGATATGCAAGTTTAATGACATGTTTTGAAATATTTCAACAGTTCATACATTGTACACCAGCTGTATGATGATTTAAGATATCACCCTACATTGTAATTATACAGTCGTTAATGTATAACATAGAGAGAATGATTTGCTTCTGTATGTTGGTTCTGTATGCAATTAACCAACTATCTGTTAAATAAACATTAGATACTTATATCATTTGTCAGTATTGGATTTTTTTTTCAAAAATTAAGTTATTAAAATGACAAAATTTACTGAGAAGATGAAGATGGACTCCTTTCTAGAATTGAAAGAGGGAGGTAACTTTAGATGTTTCCAAAGCCATGTAAAAGCAATGTCAACGTCAGAATTTACCAGTAGTCCAAAATAGCTCAGAATAAGCTAAACCGGTCAATTTTCCTTGTCTTTGGTTGATCAAATCTAACCCATGAGATGGTTTCCGATTTCCACTGGGGGTGGATGAAGTGTCGACTGACTCGTTCCCTCTCCTTCTGTGAGCGGGGGCGGGGAGAGTCGCTGGTGTAGAAGAAGGGCTGGGTGTCCACGTTAGAGCTAGCGGACAGCTGTCGTACTGGGACTGGGGGGATATGAACACTACGGCAGTAGGGCAGGCGATGCTGAAATGAGGCATTCCTGAAGAAAAAAACAAAATTAAGAATAGCAATAGATACGGAATAATTTAAATGAACATGTAGATTTAAGCCTAGTGTATCCATTGCATAAAAGTGCGTAATGGTGATTGGAAAATAAATAAACAAGAGAATGATACATTTATAGATGGAAGGTATCATTCATGAACCAAAAGGACATTTACCTTTTGACTATTTCATTCTTCCATTTATTTTCAAAATCTTTCTGCCACCTTTGTCTTTTACTTTCTTTTTCCTCACTCGTCCAGTTTCTGAGTGACGCATGCGCACTGCATGTCTCCCTGTTTTGGAGGTTCCTCCGGATAATATGTAGGGGGAGGCGGTGAGGGGAGATTGTTTTTCCCATGTCTGGGCGGGGCGCTGAGTGGAGCCAACGCTCACGTAATGCTGATGTTACTATAAATAGAATACACAGTTATGCCAATTAAAACTATGTTAATTTCATTAATGGGTGTCCACATACATAAGAGTATAAACGTATTACCATAATATCACACGCTGACTTGTTCAAAGTGTGGTGTAGAGGAAGCGTAAAGATATATTGGTTTATTTTTAAAGTCTTTAACAAAGTCTTTTACATCGAGTATTCGATTGGTATCCTTCCCCATTTAAAGCACTAAATATTACTTTTATTATTGAACTTGATTCAGACTGGCGTATGAATGATGTTACATCGTGGAATTCATTCACTCAGTTCTATCCTATAAACATTGAAGCTGCATTTCACCCAATTCAAGTATACTTGCTGAATAAATGACCAGGGTCAGTGTAATATTACTAGAAATTTCATGCTCTACTTCTCTTTTTTATCCACACAGGTTTAAGAAGCTGTGAAAAGTAATGCGATGTTTGACTGGTCACAGTATTAACTTTTCAGCTGGTGATCTTTCGTGACAATGAACTACACTTAGGAAATTAATCAGGGAATCATACTATTATCATGTGTAAAATTGACCCTCTTATAATTTTATACTAAAAATTAGGGATGTCAAATCGGTCAATTTTTAGTACTCGGTTACGGACGGATCGAGCTCGGTAAAAAGTGTAAATAAATATGAACAAGAAAATCGATGACTGTAAAACATTGCAAACTCTTGTAGAAATAAAACCACATGCTCTGACAGAGGTTTACCCGTAAATGTATTTCTGATTTAACAATGATAAGTTTCGCCGAAATTTAATATAACATTTTTTTTGGATAAACACAAGAAATATAATCATAAGTGGTTCACACTGTTTTTGTTTTTAATAAAAACACTCCTTCCGTAAATTGTAACTCTTTGTTGCGTTTGACGTCCAGGTATCAGTCGTCAGATCTACGTGTAGTATCAACTTGAACTTGACCTTGAGTTCTCAAAACAGAGCGGATTTACGATTTTCGCACACTTTTTCACTCCTATATTATATAGTGTTTCGGTACGGTATTTTGTAGTATAGTGCAACGATGGACATCACTTTTTAAAATTGCCATATTGGCGTGTACAAAATTCGCACTCTCGGAGAATTGACAAAATTATCTAAAAAATATATTAGATATTCAGTGACAAATCATTGTAATAAGGCCAGGTAGCAGGTGCTTGGTCACTTGATATAAACACTGTCAAAGGCGATAACGGTCATTTAGAGATGTGGAAACCCTAATTACTGTATGTACAAGTACAATAAGCATTTTACGTTTTAAAACAGATTTTTATTGGATTAATAAATAAGCTATGAAATATTCAAACATATACATCCGAGTAACCGAGTACCGATTTTAGTACGATACTACCGAGTACCCGGTTAACCGGGTACTCGTTGACATTACTAAAAATAGAAAATATGTTGGAGGGTTTTACAAGGATAATAACTTGCGCTGACGAAAGGTACGTAACATTAAGGTTGCCGGCACTTTACTTAAAAAAATACTCTTAAGTTTACACTACCAGTCAAGCTTTACGAAGGTGCTATCTGTGAACTAAATCTCCCAGAGTTAAAGGTTCTAAACTTTGTCAATTCCCATTGACCAAACTCGAATCGGCAATGAATTTAGAACTCTCCGTCATGTTTTGATGATAAATGTAACCTACGGAGAAGAGTTCGCATCTGTTGACCTGGCATTGACCAAATATGCAATGATTTTGAATGTATGCAGGGATTTTTAAAAGCAGCCACTGGGGTGACTTTCTTTTTCATTTGAACTTAAAAAATACTCCCTCAATGACATAAAGATTCATCTTAGATTTGAGACCCTGCTTTGCACCGGTATGATCGATTACAATATCGCAACCGAGGATGCATGTTGGCCTTAATGTACCACCCACATATAATCAGTATGGTACTGATAGTAATGACTCCAGAGCGATACATACGGTTTCTAAGTTTGTCATTGGGCCGATGCTGCTTTGAAAGAGTGTCGTCACCGCTGCCCAATCTTATCTGCTCCAGGGAATCCTAAAAGTTAAAGAAAAAATCAAAGTACTAAAACTACTCACAGTATTGTCGGTACTCCGGTGACATATTCCCCCCGTCTATATGTCCACAGATGGAGAAATATCCAGAGGCATTTATACTCAGCTAATCTGGGTCCTACAAGTCTATGTAATCTGTGTTTTGATTTATCTGTTTTGTGTTGAAAAATCAATAGCGATCTGTCAATCGGAGGTATTGATAAGTCGTGAAAAATTAATAGAAAAGAACCTTCGTGAGAAAAAGAACCAACCATGAGTTCAACAAAACGCATGCACTTGTGGGGTAAATAATACACATCCAAAGGCATTTGGTGAGACTTTTAAATTGTGTTAGAAATATACATCTTCTGTTAGAAATATGTATAGTACTACAATTTTACGGTTTATCCAAGATTAATTAATATGGATCTTTAAAAAGATAATGTAAATTAGTGTTAAATTTAAATCCCCTGCACCTTGTGACATTAAGACTGGGTACAAAATGGGCATGCACATTTCGCATCGTACAATAACTAATATGTACAAGTTAAATTGATGCAAAGCGAGGCGGTTTATTCTGTCTTTTCACAAACCATGAACAGTCTTCCGTGACCCTATCATTTCGTCACACTTTATGTTTATTTCAGATTCAAAATAATAATAATAATGAAAAAAAAATAGTGAAGATATTTTTATCAAACTTCATATTCATACGCCGAGACGTACTGATATCATAAAAACTATTCTAATGCATCATCATTTTTCCACTTGACCTTTCTATTGTTCTTGTTTTTAATTTCTAAAAGAAACTTATGATATTTTTGTCAAACCTGTTACACTTTATGAGTATGCATATTGCATAATGTCCAATTGCATCGACCTTTTTGACCTTTCCTTTGACCTTGATCTCACTTATGCTTTATAATAGTTTCAAATTTTATTTTATTCATTTTTTTTAAAACCTTGTCATTCCTACGACATTCATCATTTATCTTAAAATGGTATTAACCTCCGTTTCATAGAAACTATTCAAGAGATTTTAATGAAACCATATACCGATATGCTTATACATAATTGGTGGAAAGTAACTGCATCAACAATTTTGACCTTTCCTTTGACCTTAACTGCAGATTAATTTTTAGCCAAATTTCAGTGAAAGTATTCAAGATATTTTTATCAAACTTAATATGCTTATATATACATATTGATGAGAGCTATGTAAAACATGAACAAGTTTGTCCCTGACCTTTTTTTAGGCATGGACTTTAAATTTGTGTTTAGTTTCAAAGAAGAATTGAAAATATCTTTTCTAAATTAAACTGTTGATGAAAGCTATCTAAAGACATCAATTTTGACCTTGACTTTTCCTTTTCACTTTTCTCAAATTTGTTTATCGACGTTTCAAAGAAACATATCAAGATATTTTTATCAAGCTGTGTTTGCTTTTACATATCAAGCTATTCAACTTCGTCTACATGAAAAATAGATAAATAAAATCAACCTTTGAATTACGTAATTTTTATTACTATGAAGTCTGTTTTTTTGTTTTTTTTAAAATAATTTTGACTTGTGTGTTTTTGTGAGTATGTAGCTAGGTTTTTGAAAGATGGGTGGATGCTAAAAGAGGAAAAAACACTTGGAAATGCCTAATAAAACATTCAAGAGACTTTGTCCATTTCTTTTACCTGGCCTTCCCAAAGACCTTTGACTTTACTATTCATTGTGTATGAATAAAGCTTTTCAAGATATTTTCAACAAAAGTCATACACTAATGTTACTGATGAACCCTGTGTGGGGAATACTGTACATATCTTAGGGACATATTTCAAGTTGCTTGTTTCTCTTCGACCATTTTTCACTTATATTGAGACGCCACCAGTTGCCAATTAGTGTAGGGCTTCAAATTGGACATTCTATACTCTGCATTTACGACCTTTGAGAAGTGGTGGATCTTTTTCTAGATCTTTTCGTTAGCGTAATCGTCCGATCCGAAAAAGGTTCTTGTGCAATAAACTGAGAGAGAGAGAGAGAATACCTTGAATGAAAATTTGTTCATTTGCTTTATTAGTACCCATCATTTGTATGGCTATGTATTTTACTGACTATTAAATCTTTGACATTCTTCACTTTTTTGTATTTTGTTCATTTGCCCTGTGATTAAGGTTTCTTATATATATTTTTTTCTTTCAGAATCAAACTTTACCGTAAGGAATACGTTATTTTACTTTGCTGTTTGTAATACGTAGAAATATGTATCTTACCTCTACATTCATTGCTTTGTCTCGGTTTACCACATAAAAACTAGCATCGAAAACAGTTTCACCTCCATATTGTTCAAATCATTAAATATTATTTCTAAATCAAATTCAATTTCCCGTCATTGTTATTTGCCCTGAATTCATTCCCTCTCCTTTTTCATTAACCGTATTTTTAATTACATTTTGAGGGCGTCGATCTTAAGAGTTCTAAAGTTTAAAACTACAAAGAGAACAACAATGCATAATTGCATGCATGGATTGGATCAGTTTTAAATGTCTATTTAATGTATAGGAAGTCTGGACAATGCAGGCCGGCTGCCTTTTATCCCTAGAAAACAATCCTATTGGATTGGGCTTTATTTTATGCAGTGGTGGACACCTTTTTGCATTATCTAGTGGGTGATTTAATCAAAGCCGATAAGATTTAAAGATTAGGATAATAAAATTTTGCAGGTATTATCTTATTGCCAGGCACCTTTGTCCGTGTTATTAATATTAAACATTTTTCTCCTACTGTTACAAATTAAGTGTCGTCAACATCCTCCCAGATCAAGAAAGACAACTTGCCTATTTTTACGTACATGTATATCATCTTAATCTTATGAACTCCTACAACAGAAAGGGAAAATGAGGCTTAAGGACATATGCAATGTAGTTTGAACTTTTTCGTCTTTTTCCCATGGAGTTGAAGAGTTCAAATTCTTGAAGGAACTGCTATATTTTTAATGTCTATATATGGTGTTGTACACCTATTCTAAAATATTTCCATTTCTAATTTTCTTCTCTGTGATAACTCTTTCAAAGTTAGCGGAGTTCATTTCTTGATAATTCTACCGGAATGTAAATTAGGCATGTCGACATGTCAGGAGCTAGTCAGGAGCTAAGGAGGCCTAATATGCATGCAAATCTGCGCATCTGTCTCTGTTTCTGACGCTAAGGAGGCCATATTTGCATGTAAATCTCGTGCAACTGCCTTTGTATTTGACGTCAGTACTAGTGGGTGAGGACTATTGAAATTAGTATGGGAGTCTTAGTGTAATTTAAATCTATGTCTACATTTTTAAAATCTAAATCTACAATTTTATTTCACAATGAAATGGAAATACATGTATAAGGAATCACTGTCTAGTTAGTATAGTATGCTAGGGCATCAACGATAGTGGGAAACATGGGATAATTTGCATAACGGGCGAAGATTCCTTTAAACAATTTTGGATAAAAGAAACAA